CCTGGTGCCTGCAGCTCAGGGGCGGGACTCCGTCCGCACCACGCCCCAACCCGGCGCGCCCGCCGCTCTACCGCGCCCACGTCCTCGCGGCCTCGCTCTCCTCACCTGTGAAATGGGGCTGCCGTCCTCCTGGGGAGTAAGAGGTTAACGCGGCACGCGCCCGGCCCTGGCGGGACCCTTGAGGGGCTCCTTGAGGGGAGGGGCCACCAAGAGAAGCAGCTTCCCGGGGGAACAGAACCGAAGAATCGAACAGCAGCCCCCAGCCTGCTTCCCCCACCCTCACCTGGACGAATACCCTTCTGGTCTCAGGCTGCGCAGAGAAGTGTGTCTTTGGCGGCCAAGACCCCCTCCCCGCTCCCAAGACTGTGCCCGACGCGGGGGTGGCCGGGTGGGGGCTTCAGCCAGGCTTCACTAGACCTGGCTGGCTTCTAGTCTGGGCTGCAGGTCTCCGTTGTCCTGGCTTCACCACCCACCCCACGCAGTTATGCGTGCATATTGACTGAGCCTGCTCTTGACATATGCGGTAAACTCCGCTAAAGGACAATGAGGCAAGTCTATTGTGACCATGACTCCAACACACACACTGCTGCCTCTGCAGAATAATGGCAGGAAGGAGTGTTCTCATTTTACAGAGACTCAGAAAGGTGAAGTAAGTGGTTGTAGGTCACACAGCAAGCAGGTGAAAACCTGGACTGGCCTCCTGACTCTGAAGAAAGTGATCTTCAGGCTTTCTCTCCCCAGGAAGGATGTTGGAATTTTCAGGGAGGTCACCAGATTCCCAAGGCCTCCTGGGTGCTTGGCTCCTACATGGGGTGGTGGGGCCTGGTTGGGAGGTTGAGGAGAAGTGGGATCCCTCTGTTCCCCAGCAAAAGTTTATCTGAAGGGCCAGGCCCTGGGGGACCCCTAAGCAGGGCCATTTAGGGGGCAGATGTGGTTTGGAGACTCCCATCCCCACCCTGGGTCCTGGCCACCCCTGTTCTGGGTAATTTTCCACAGCAGCCACTTCCAGGAGGGGAACAAAGAGCCCTGCATGTCCAGGCTGAGCCCCAGGGACTTGGGCCTCCAAGGCATCTCTTGGCCTGGACATCCCCCTTCCAAAGTGCACCACTAATTTTACTCCCTCAGAGGGCGTGGCCACACAGGCTATATCTGGAGTCTGAGCAAGGCAGTGCTGAGGATGGCTGGACTAACTGAGGGGTGAGGGGGCAGGCTAGGCGGGTCTGGGGATCCAGACCTGTCCCCTTGGCTGCCCTCCACCGAGGGTGCCTCTCTCTGCTTGCATACCGACAGGGACAGGGAGCTCACTGCCTTACCACTTTCAGTCCCTGAATGTTGCTGGACAGGCTGGACTTCTCCCCAGCCTGGCTGCGTCCTCTGACCTGGCCCCAGCCTGACATGATCCAAGGCTAGGTGGCCCAGATCTGAAGCACAGTCTGCCTTTTCCTCATCCCAGCTGCTCCTAGGGACCGGCACCATGATGGGAGGCAGACAGCCCTGGGGTCGGCCCTGTTGTTGCCCCTGAGTGGCAGGTTGGCTCTGTGAGTCCGCCTGTGCTCCTGGGTATGGAGGTTGGCCCACCCTCAGCAACTGGACTAGGCCCCCAAGCCCCTCTGTGATCCAGACTCAGCTGTGGAAACCAGGAAACCAGATTAAGTCAGCCTCCTCCAGGCTCCGCCTGGACTATCCCCTCCGAGGAGGCCCATCTCACAGGCCCAGCCCGGCGGTGATCAGTAATGTCCCAGCCAGCCTAGGCAGAGGCATCAAGCCCCAGTTACAGCTGGGGAAACTGAGGCACAGAGTGGTGATGTAACTGGCCCAAGGCCACACAGCTGGTATCAGAGCTATAACTTGGACCGGTCCATCTTTTAAAAAGCCACATCGCAGGAGTGAGGTTTGTCTGTTCACCCCCCACCCCCGCTCCAAGTCAGAGACCTGTGAGACGGACCCACTCCTGGGGCTAACACTCGGTCCCGTAGTTTGGTGCTGGAGAGGCACTCGGATGCAGGAGCCGGCCGGGAAGGTGTACAAGCCAGACCCGGAGCCGGTCCCGGCTCTCTCCAGGTGGGGTGGGACCGTCCACCCGGGGGCGGGGCCTTGGGAAGGCCCCGCCCCGCCCCGCCCGCCCGGAGAGCCGCCACCAGGGAAGGGAACCCAGTTTCCGAGGAACTTTTCGCGGGCGTCGGGCCCCACCGAGGCCGGGGCGGGAAGCGGACACTCAGAGCGGCAGCGGCGGGCCCGGCGGACCTCCCGGAGGAGGCGACTACGCCATGGAAGAGCCGCCCTTCAGCGAGGCGGCCTTGGAGCAGGCGCTGGCCGAGCCATGCGAGCTGGACGCGGCGCTGCTGACCGACATCGAAGGTGCGTCAGGGCCGCTGGGCTCCG